GCCTGAATAGAATCAACTCGGTGAATTTCAACGAAATGCAAAATCGAAAAACCCCGCGCGTTAACCCATCTCTCCAAACGAGCTAAAAACATCGAGCGAAATTTTTAACAAAATGTCGATCACCCTTGAACGAGGCCGGATAAATAAAAATGAGGCTCGTAGCAATTGCGATTGAAAATAAAAAAAAAAAAAAAAGAAAAAAAAACAGAAAAAATACCACTCGAACGAAGGAAATACGACTGGACGAGAGTAGGCGTGGCATATTCGAACATACTTCAACCATCGGTTTCTTCGCCGGGTTCGGAACGTCAATGAGGTCAATGAGTTCGTTCTTTTCACCTGGAATGACCTATATAATCCCCTCTAACCACTCTCATTGCGAACACACGTGGTATCGAAAGAGAGAACGTTTGAAAATTTATATGTGGTAAAATTGTCACTCGCGCTTTATTTCTCAAGATTTGATAGAGAAAGATTGTACTGGGACAGTAGTGCGAATCAACGAATGGGCTGACAAACCTCTCGTTCCGACAAAACTCATGAAACTTACGGTAGAAAACTTGGTCAGAACCGTGAACTCGTTTTTCTAAACACACCGAGCGGACGATGCAACGATGGTTACAGAAGAGGAAAAGAAAGGAGATCAACGTGGATATCCGGAAGTGGCACGCGACGAGGCTGCTGGCTTCAAGACGCTCGAAGGCACACGGGTAAACCCGCCATTTTATCTTTGGCGTTGTTTTCATCGCCGCGAGATAGCTGGAACGCCACTCAGCCCGGCGCAAAGGTTAGCCTCTTGCGTTTGTGCTCGTTTACGAGCAAACTCGCGCCGATTCCGCTTGCAACGGAGCGCCGGTTCAGCCATTTCATCGTCTGTCGGATGACGCGTGGACGCGATTGTTCGCAGCCGGGCAAATTTTTCTGTCTCGAGCGAACGAACGCGGACAACGTCTCATCAACCGTTTCGATAGCGATGGCACCAAGTTCTTTTGCACACGACGCGTGATTCGATCCGATCTTTTCTAGACTTTCTAGCGTGGATATTTAAGGTGCAATTTTAAGAAACTTTAAATTGTAAGCCAAACTTTTTTTTCTTGTATCATCCATTAGCATGACGTAGCATTGGAAATAATTACTAAAATGGTATTTAACACGAAATTTCGTTGATTATATCTTCCTAAGATACATGATAGAATACATGAGTTTATACAAGAGTTTCAATCTCTGGGAAAATAATATCCTCCGCCACTTCTTGAACTTTTGTAAGAAGCAGTAAGAAGTCTAGATCATGTGAATTACTGAGTGTCAATCGACTCGGAAATTCCTTTGTTCTTCTTACGTCGTTATTATAGCTTTGACTCTAGCCTGTTCAGATATTACACTATTATACAACGTACCTAACCTATACGTTCATTATAACGATCAGCAAACTATAAAAAGAGAAAGTCCAAGCTGTTGGCTAGATTCAAGTAAAATGTCCCCTCAGAAGGAACAGTTAAATACAGTGGGTTAATATTAATTTAAGGTGACAAATTGCGCAGAACGTTGGATTTAAAAAATTTCATAGAATCGTTATTTGAAGTGTTTCATGTCGTACAAAGTGTTTATATTATATTGTATGAATATTGAAATGTGTTTATATTATATTATATGAATATTTAAAAAGAGAGAGAGAGAAAGAATGAATTTCAGAAGAGCATACAGAAATCGTCAGGAGGAGCATATCGAATTTTCCGTGCCGCGAGACTTCTGGTTTCTCTCCCTCCCCCCCCTCTCTCCACCCCTTCTGTTCAAACAAGTAATCCTTTGCATTCCCGGCCGCGGCGTGTATATGCATGTTTTTGCTCGTCCCGTTTCTAATCTTGCCCGACCTGAAATTTATTTCCAGAGGATTTATCTGTCTTCGACTAAGTAAACCCATTTGCATTTCAAATATCACCGTTGATTCGCTCCCGCACCGTTCGGGGCTCGTTCGCCCCGAATTTATCGTCGAAAGATCACGCGTACGCCCCGCTTGGCTTCTTTCTTCCACCGTCCCTGCGGCTTGATTTTTACGAGCCCTCGAGAAGTTAGGTGAAATCGGATATATTCGAAAATTCTCGACGACGATCGGGTAATTAACTGCTACTCGGTCTGTCGTGCCTCTTCCTCGCAAGGAACAATGGAGTTCGCGTTGCCGATACATCAAGCGCCAGAATAAAAACTCGCGTCGGCAGGATTCTGTTCTCGTAAAGGATGGCGGGACATAATTGGCAAGCGTGCGTGTACATTGATTTAATTTGCCGTGGTTTCCCGGGTTTTCCAGGCAGACAGCCTCTCACCAAGCAGAGCTGTTCTTTTGTGCCGCGATATAAAAGAAAGAAGACTTGACGCAGGGTCGAGCGAGCAACGCGCTCGTGCATGATGTACAGGTAATACGCACTTACTTGGAAATCGAGCGAGACCCGGATTCCCATTGGTCACGAAACACAGGGAGCAATCGTTTGGAATTAACGTCGACGCCTACGCTTATATTTACCATCCCCTCTCCGCTCGCGTTTCTTTCTTTTTTTTTTTTTTTTTCGACGTTGCGACACGATTGCGCAATTTCGATCGGGAGAAAAATGTTTTAATTTAAAATGATTTCTACTAAAATCGCTGTAGCCCCGTGATTCCCAATGTAGGGCCCACAGTGAGTTTCTCGAATTTGTACAGTATTTTGACTTTGTCAGGTACATGTATTTTATTTTATGATAATTTAAATGATCGAAGCATGCGTCCTAACAGCGACTTTACGTGATACTTATATATTCGAATAATGGTAACAGTTAGTTTTATCATTTGATTATTTAGACTCACACCGACGCTACTATGATAAATCGAAAGCTAGTGAAATTTAATGCGAAAATTACGTAACACAGACATAAAGTCGCTGTTAGCACGCACGCGTCCCCAGTGTTAAATGAAACTTTTCAAAAACACTATTACATAGGTTCCTTGCGACCAATGATTCTTTGGAAAAAATTTACCTTCGCGACGAACAGAATACAATGCAAAGAGAAAAAAAAAATTTTTTTGAATCTCACGGTGAAAGTCAATCTCACGGTAAGATCTTTACACGTATTCCCATCAACTCGAAGGCGTAGAATTCATCTATAGACAGCCACGGACGAACTTCTCTTTCCACCGCGAGTTTCGATATACTTCGAAATATACACCCGGTGTATCGAGTGAGTTATATTACAAGGGGCGATCGTTAGCCAGAGAGGGAAGCAGGTTCGAATGGGAAAAAGTT